GCGTCCAGTTGCCACTCGTCAAGCACAGGTACCATAGGCGGTTCCGTGGTCGAGGTGAGGTCGGTCACCTTGGCGCTCTTTGCCTTCTCCCTGGCTTTCCTCTTGGCCTCCTGGTCGGCCAGAGGAAAGGCTCGTGGGGGCGCCTCGACCCAGACAAAGGGCTCGTCCCTGAGGCCCTCCAGCTTGATCTCAACGTAGCAGTGTGGCGAGATCGGCGTGTCCACCCTGGCCTCCACCGACATGGGGAAGGCGCCCAGAGCCTGGGAGCCAATGAAGTAGTCATACTCCTTGCCATTGCAGGTTGGGAGGCCAGGTGCGAAGATGGTGGCGGTTGCCAGGTCCAGCCATCCTAGCTCCATGATCTCCTCAGGTTCTAGGTTCCAGTCACCTCCTAGCAGGAAAGGGAAACGCTGCGCCCCCAGGAAGGCACTGAGGAACTCCAGCAGCTCCAGGTTCTCGCCCTTGGGGCCGATCGAGTCGACGCCGTAGACTGAGCCGATGATGATCCACGAGTGAGCGCCAACCGTCATGAGCCTCATCACAACACGGTGCTGCCACCTCTCAGGAACCTGGAGCTTGGCCACCCCAATGCCAATGGCCGCTGACAAACCCACTCCTGCTGAAAGAGATCTGGCCGATTCTCCTGTGCGCTTGGCAGTTCCCAGCGCCAGCTTCCGAGAGCAAGTGCGAGTCCATTGATGGGCCCCTGCTTCCCCCGACTGGTCCAGCACGGTCTCCTGAATGCATAACACATGCGGCATCTGACATTGTTTCTCAATCCATGGCATGGTGCTCCGAGCCCTTGGCCAAGTATTCGCATTCAGAGTGCCAACTTTGAACGTACCTAGGGCACCGCGATCCTCAGGAGGGAGCCCTTCCAACAATGAGATGACCTGCTTCGGCTGCAGCGCTGCTTGAGACTCCACCTGAGGTTGCTCAACACTGACTCCCATGGCTCGAGACTCAGCAAGTGGCGACTGAACCTGGCTGGGCACTTCCTCCGAGCATCGGTTGCCCCCAGGATTTAGCGATCTAACGCCAGACTCCAACGACGGGCTCTCACAATCTACTCTGAGACAGCCAGGTTCGAGGAGCGCCTGGCTGTCGCGTTCTGACACTGAAATTTCCTCACTGCGTGCAACAAAAGGTTTGGACGAGAGGGCCGCCAAGCTCTGGTTGGGCTTGACGGCTACGTTCTGACTGGCTGTCACGTTCTCGGCGCTCTGACATGTCGCCGAAGCCCGTGGCCACTCTTCCTCGCAATTTAACTCTGAGGAGACCAGGCTCGAGGCGCACCTGGTCTCCAATCCGACAAAACGGGTAGACGCCACCCACGAAGTCGACGGCGACACCGCAGCCCAGGGAGTCGCCGACACTGGAGCCGACGGCGACACCGCAGCGCAGGGAGTACCCGACACCGACGATGACAGCTCAACCGAAGACGACGGCCTCGACGATGCGCTCGTGGCAATCGACTTCGCCGTCAGTGCACGCTCCTCCAGCGCCGCTGCCCGCCTGGGACTCGCACCTGCCGTGAGGCAGGCGGGTTCACTCAGGCTGCTCCTCTCAGGAGAGAGGACGCTAGCGGCCGCCTTCTCAGGAACGGCACCGAGAGATGACCAGGAACAGGGAGTAGCCGAACTCGACCACGTCGCCCCCACTTGTGTCGAGCTCACGCTGTGGCTAAAGCCCCGACCGTTTTGCTGCCTGCACACCAACGTCAGCAGAGACACGAGAGCGAATGTCCAACTGTGGGGCAGGCTTGCCAACTGCATCAGCCGGCGCCTCGGCAGGTGAGCTCGCTGTCGCGGTCTCTGGGCTTGGCGAGGCCCCTGGTCCAGACTCGATCCCACCTGTGGCGGCTGCTTGTTCCCCAGGGCAACCGTCAGCAGTGCGTCGTCGCTTCGCTTGGAGTCGTTTGAGGTGCTCCTTGTGCTGGTCCTGGGCGGAATTGGCCTTCTCCAGAGCTTGGCGAAATACCGATCCCAGCACCTCTTGCAGCTGCTTCGCCACGTTGTTCTTGCGATCCTCGAGCTCTCGTAGGTCCTCTTCAGACACCTCGTAGCTGCCCTTGACAGCCTCAACATCGATGAAATCGTCACAAGAAATAAGGCTGGCCAGCTCCATCTCACCGTCGATGAGCTTGCGCAGGCTGATGCTCGGCAGGCCGCTGGACTCCGTCGCTGGTGGCCCTCTGTGCTGGCTCTGGAGCTCCACCAGGGCGGCTGCCACCTCGTCGTCGGCAGCCTGCAGCTCCTCGGCCAGGGCCCCAACCGTGACTGCCAGCTCATCTGTCGCCCGACGCCAGCGCTCCAGCTTCTCGAACTCACTGTTGAGGCGTTTCTCGAGCTTCTCCTGCTTCTGCTCTGCGGCAATGAGCCTCTGCCTCCCCGACTGCTTCGGGGGCGGCGCCGCCCTCTGCGCCAGGGCTCCATAGCGCGCGGCCCCCACAGCGTCCCCAGCCTCACGAGCCAGACGCTGTAATTCGAGGGCCTTGGCCTGGGGAATCTCGGGAACAGGTCCAGGAGGGAGTGCCGTGGAGAGGTTGCCTGGGCCCTTGCCACCGAACAGATCTCCCTTGCCGCCTTTGTACCCTTTCTTTCCCTTGCTCGCTCCCTTCCCCGCCTCGTCCGACGCCATGGGGGCCCCAGAGTCATCAAGTGGTTGGGGACGAGTACCGAGCTTTTGGCCACAATGCTTGCAGCACATCGATCCTTTTGAGTTCTTACGGCATCCGCAGTGGTGGCATAGAATTTCACCTTTGGGACCTGCCACCGTCTTCCATTCCTCCTCGTGCTTGGCTCGCTGGCTGTCACATTTTTCCCACTTGGCTGCCGAACCCCCGCCCTCAGGTATGGTGCCCCCCCAGCGACGGGGCCGGGATGACTGAACCCACGGGCGGCGCTCCCACTCACCAGGGCCAGCCGGAGCCATGGCGCGAGAGCAAGGATTGGGATGTTGGAGGCTCGCGAACCCCTCGACCGAGGGACCTCCGTACAGGTTGGTTGCTGCCGCGGACTAGCGGTATCCGTTTTTGCCAGAGCGGGCTCAGCCCGCCAAAGCAGGAGGAGGACGAGGATGACGAGGGGGAGGAGGAGGAGGACGAGGAGTCACAGGAGAAGGGGGAGGAGGAATGTCCTCAGGAGGAGGAGGAGGAGGAGGAGGAGGAGGAGGAGGAGCAACAGCTGCAGCAGCAACAGGGGCAGGAACATGGGGAGGAGGGGGGGCAGGCGGAGGATGAACACGGGGACGCTGAGGGCGGATCATGATCATGACGACAACAACGATGATATCGATGATGACGATGGTATGACGATGGGATGACGATGGTAATGGTAATCCTGCGCACCCTCTCTGGTCCTTGCCATCCTTCTCCTTGTCATTATCATCCTCCTCCTGCTTCTCTTCCTCTTCCTTTCCCGTTCCCTTTTCTCCTCCTCCTTCAGTTCCTCCTCATGTTCCTTCTCAAATGCATCTGCCCATCGTCCCGCTTCCCACCTACTCCGTAACTTCATCATCCCAGCTACCCCGACCCCCATTTAGACGCCAGCAATCCCAAAATATATGCCATGCCCGAGCTTGTTTCGTGGCATTGCTCTGCCATCGACGTCCCCTGCCGGGCCAACCACTGCCCGACCTTCATGCGCGCATGTCCGTGTATGATGTTGTCAACCCTTACATGGTTGGTTGCGTGTTTGATTCGTGTCTAGACGAGTCGTTGCGTTGTCGGTGTCTATCCGTGTCTAATCGAACGCGTCTAAACATGTCTAAACATGTCTAAACGTGTCTACCCGTGTCTAAAATGCACTCGTGCCTATTTTTCTGATACGACGTATTTAAGCATGTCTAATCATGTCTACAAAGATGTCTAAACGTGTCTGATCATGTATATTCAGTAAATCACACTAAAACACACAGCCACGAAGCATTGTAATCCACAGTACACGCGACACATCAAAATAGACACGCGCGCGCCTTGTGAATGAGCGAAAAGCATCAGGGAACCGCGCGCCCGCATAGACAGGACACCCTTGTCTTCCAAGGCCGATGCCCGGGTGCCCGGATGCCTGGGCCCGTGCCCGGGGCCTTGACCGGGTGCCTGGGTGCCCGGATGCCCGGGTGCCCGGCTGCCCGGGCGGTGCCTGTGCCTGAGGCTCGGCCCCGCTCGGGTGCGCAAGCGTGTCTGGATGCCCGGATGCCCGGGTGCCCGGATGCCCGGATGCCCGGGTGCCCGGGCCTTGCCCGGGTGCCCGGATGCCCAGATGCGGAGGAGGAGGAGGAGGAGGAGGAGGAGGAGGAGGAGGAGGAGGAGGAGGAGGAGGGCTCCCGCACGCGGGGCCACAGCCAAGGCGAGGGTGGCCCATGCGGTGCGGTCCTGCGCCGCGGCGCAGCATCGCTCGTGCGTGCCGCCAGCGGCCTGGAGCGCGCCCGTCTGTGGAGGCAGTCACGCCTTTGGTGTGCCGGTGCAGCGCATGATTGCGATCGTTCCCCGCATGATTTGCTGCAGTGTTGGACGTGTGCGTGCATGCACGCTCTGCGCTTCCGCGGCCGCCGAGGCTCGAAACTGGTAGGGGCACTTTTCCCATGGACTGGAATCAGGCACTTTTGCAAAAGTCGCACATCCACGGCTTGAGAGCTCTTTGGTTTCATCGTGTGGGACGGTACACGGATGCAGGCGTCACTCTTCTGGGGGCGCCTTGACCCGGCCTCACTCGGAGGAAAAGCAAGTGGGGGGGAGAGACTTGTGCTTCAAGCCAGCCTCGTGAGCCCCCTTGGTCAAGAGGCCCGCCCAACTGGCAGGCCAACACGGACAATCCGCTCTGACACGCCCAGCACGGACACTCCTACAACTTATGTCCCTGCGCTTTTCACCCGAACCTTACACAGAATCTGCTGGCTGCTGCGGGATCAGACCTGGCTGCTAAAGCCGGTGTTGAATGCAATCGCCGCCAACGAGAATACTGCTCACGATGATGCTGACGGTGATGGTCGTGATGTTTTTTCGGCTGCGGGTGATGCTGAAGAGTTTCTGTCCGTCTCGGGCGGCCGACGAGGAACCCGACGTCTCCTCGTGCCAGCAGTATGTACAAAGCTGCTTTGGAAGAATACGAGCTGAATTCTCAGGTGATAGGGAAAGCCGACCCCTTTGGGTCCTCGGCGTGTGCGATGGTTGCCCCTCTCCAACTCCCTCTCCCGCGAGTCCAAGAAGTGGAAATGTGTGATGGGGGGGCGGAAGGGCCGGTGGATTCATCTGGCCCAGAAGAGCTCCCAGGTGCGCCAAAATTCTCCCATTGGGCTTTCAGACGGCCTCAATACCGCACCAGATGACCTCAAGAGGATACGAAATGGCGCCGAGAAGGCCCAAGATGGCCTCCAGAGGGCCCAAGAGGCCACCAAGACAACTCAATACCACCCCAAGAGGAGCCCCAGACGACCCCCCAAAGGGCATGCAGAGGCCAACATCGCGCACTGCCTGTCTGTTGCTTGAGTAGTTGTCTCATTCTTGCCTGTTTCACAAATTTCAGCGCGCCCAATACGGCTTGAGAGGTCCCCAAGATCGCCCCAAGACGGCCCAAAAAGTTTGAAAAGGGGTTGGGAGGCCCAACCAGCAGCTTCGCTTTAGGTGAAGCCCAGCTCCAGCTCTGTTGTACCGTAGTAGCGATAGTCCCAGTAGTAGGAGATCGTCGCGGGAGCGACGAGTCATCTCAAGCAAAGGATGCTTTGGTCTCGATGGCGAATGGTACACCTCGCGCTGAAGTGTAGTCAGATCTGGGCGGCCGGCCGCTTGAGTCAAAATGGCCGCGGACACACGCTCGTTACCTCTCGCCTGGGAGAGGGAGACGAAGCGTGAGCCCGCCGCTTCTCTACAGACGGTACAGCAGCTACCTACAGCAGCTACCATGTACAAAAGGGCAGCAAAAGGGCGGGGCCGGAAGGAAGGTGGACCCGCACGCAAGTTGCCGCGCCTGCACGTTACTGTGCATACGAGTACTCCTCAGGCGGCCGCAGACTAGGATGTCTGGCCAGCCCGATAAAGAGTATGACGCTTTAAGTCATGCTTGAAGGATCGCGTGCCTCCCATGACCTGTAGGAGCATGTCTCAGTCGATCAGTCGATGCTCCCTTTTGTGCGACCATCCGCGGTCATGTCGCGGGTGCCACACCACTGGATACTACGCGCGGTTCCTCGCTCCATCATCTGAAATATCCAACGGATGTGTCCTAAACGGGTACACTCAGTCGGCTTCTTCAAGTCTTGCTTGACAATGACTTAAACACAGACTCAGCATCTATGGTCAAAGTGACCTTGATGCTCAGGCTACCCAACTCAAGTATATCTTTCAACTGAGTGGGAGTCAGCGGCCCTGCGTGGAGCAAGTGCAGAGTCACGATCGTGGGATGCCAGTCCTCCAAGTTGCGGGCTGCTGCTAGCGTCTCTGCTGGATAGCTCGAGCGGACCTGCGAGCGATGATGCAGTACGCATCGATCAAGTGAACGACAGGCTTGCCGGACGGCGTGTTTCCACGCCGTAGCAGGCCTGCCCCGCGAATACCATAGCCTTTGACTTCGTCATCAGCATCTCCACTCAGGCGTCGGCACCCTGAGTCGCTGTGCAGGTCGACTTCGCCCGTGGGAGTCATCGCATGGTAGACGATCTTCTTAGGGCAGGCCTGCAGCTTCCTGGTGGTCGCGTTCAGTCGTCGCACTTGCATATTGGTCGGTTCTTGGACACGTTGGAGAGACACTACATATACCATCAATCACACCTGGGTGATTAATGCATAAGCCAATGCGCCTCTGAGGCTGACGAACATATCTGCAACCATCCTGGATGCCTTGGCGCCAGCGTCGGCGCATGGTAATTCAGGATGTTGTATAGGGCGGAGCTGTTTGATGCATTCGTCTTGGTCCAACGTAACGTTGCCGTCCTCACCCTTGGTATGCCTCACAACACAATTGGTATATGTAAGCTTGCTGAGTTTACACTTACCAAACGTGTCCTCTACGCACTTGTCGTGCTTGTCAATGGTGTCCTCAGTACCGGCCATATTGATATCACCAAGATGTTTGGCTGTGAGCAGGTTACTGCTTGTCTTGTACTCCTCGTCGTAGGACGTGGGTCTCAGACCGAAGTCTCTCGTGACCTTTCTGAGCTCTAGTGAGAAAGCTCGAGTTGCGTCCTTGGTGCAGGTACCTGGCTTGAGGCACTGCAAGCTGTGCTTCGACTCGTCGCAGAGCTCGAACCCTGGGCGGGATCGAAGCACCGTAGCCGATCCAGGCGTCAAAATAAAGCGCACCATGCGTTCTTTCTCACCAGTTGCCTCAGCAAGTTCCTGGTAGGTCAACCCTTGCAGGAGGGCCATGTTGACGTTGAGGGAAACAATGATCCGTTGCTTATTGCGCGCTGCCGCGCTTGCGAGTAGCCTCTGACCTGACCGCCGTGCTGTCCTTGAGAAGGTTTCCGCGTCGAAAGTTTCAGTTCAAGGCCCATGAAACCCCGAAGTACCAGGCGCAATCTGATGGCGCGCTCCATCTCGCCCCTCTCGTTCTTCGCGAACTCTCAGTTTATGCACATACCTCGAAGTCATGATGTTTGACGCTTTGGATAGGTCCTGCATGTTGAAACACTTGTTGTGCAACCATGTCTGGAGCTCAGTGCACAGGGCCTCCGGTACTTTCTCGGGATTCGCCTGGGCGCCGGCCTTCGCGAGGAGGTCGTCTTCTTTGACGACCGCGGCTCGCTTTGCAGCGGCGGTAACATATGCTCGCATGGTGGTCACGCGGTCGACATCGAATATCCTGGGTCCTTGCCTCTCGGGCTGGAGACGGCGACGCCTCTGCAGGCCCGCCACCTCTCTCTTCGTCTCCATCGGCCCTGCGGCCCAAAGGTGAAGCCAAACGCTCCTGCGAGCGGTGGCGGCCGCGCTCCTGCGAGCGCTGGGGCGGCGGCCGCAGGTCGGCGCGGGGGCGGCGGCGGCGGCGGGGGCGGGATCGCCCCCGCGGGCTGCCGCTGCGGCGGGGCGGCGGCATGGCTGCCGCCGGGGGGGTCCCAAAGTTCAAGGACCAGGGGGTGGGGCCCTGGCCCTGACGCTTTCCCGAACCCTGCGGTTCGAACCCAAAACATGCGGCGACGAGGAATGCATGCACAAGGCAAGCAACGCAATGACCTGCGAATGCGTGAACAACGCAAGCAGCGCCAACTGCCACAACACGAGAATGCATGCACGTGACATGTGAACAACACAACAACGTGAGAATGCATGCAGAGGCCCCCCGTGACTCTCCCTACGTTTTCTAGTGGAGTTGCCTCCAGTAGTTCCCTTTCATCATGTAGTTCTGTATACAGCACTTCCATAATATGTGCCTCGAGGTCCACCTCCGATTCCTCATATATCGTGGGAAGTCGTCCATCCTCCTGCGGTGGTTCGGCTTCTGGGGCTTCTCCGGCGGTTCCGTCTTGTGTCAGTATATCCGCCAGTTCCTCGAACTTTGTCATGTCTTGGTCAAAGCCCGCTTGAGGTTTGGTGGACTTCAGGCACTGGATGATTCTCGAATGTGCTGATCCAGTTATGTCATGAATATTGAGAGCGGTGCCTTCTGCTTCGTAGTAATGAATCCTGGACTCACATCGTTGTCATAGTGGACCAATGTGAAACTGTCAGCGCAAGCCACTGGAGGTAGCTCGTGGATACTCTTTGCCAACCTAACACAAACTACGTTCTCGATGCGGAAGAAATTTCTGATAAGGTATTGCAGCGCCAGATGTACCTTAGGAGATAGTCGGCTTGCACTTGTCATCTGAAGCGTTCCCTTCTTGGTCGGGACATAGCCAAATGTCATAGCAGGTCTCCCCGCAGGTAGACTGGCCACGAATGTCAGCACTGTCCGTAGTGCAGTGTTGTCGGAGCCGAGTTCCCTGGCTATCAGAGCTTCGATGTAGAGTGAGTGTCGTGCATCGCCGTATTGTACTTGAACATAACGGCTTCCCACTCGAATGATGACTTGACCCCTGTCGGGATCATTTTTTACGACCGGGAACGGGCCACTCCAGCCTCCCCAGTCGTCCTTCGTAGTAGTGCTGACCGGTGATAGTTTCTTAATGCGTAATGCACGATTGATCTTGGCTACTGCAATGGCCTGTGCGATAGCTTCAATGCACACCTGACGTATCACATGCTCTCGAGAGTGATCCGACGTTTCCGCCGGCTGTTCGTGATCCAGAGCAGGCAAGTCAGGGAGCACTGCCGGTTGCCGTCCAAACAGGGCGTTGCATGGAGACACTTCATTATAAAAAGGTGAATGCGTTGGCGGCAAACATGGCATCATGCAGTAGTCGTGTGAACACAAGAAGTATGTCTAAACTGTTGAGTTCAGCTTCCATGACTGGAAGTAGATGGCGAAATATGCCATTCCTGGCTTCGATCGTCGTTGCGCGTTGTCCACGCGCGCCTATCCTCAGTTCAATGCCTTTTGCCTTAAGGAATGCTTTCGCAGTGTCGTTGTCAAGGGCGCCCTCCCCATCGGAGTAGAGTACCTTGGCAAGTCCAAACTGCATCCATGGTACGCATCCAGGATACTGGTCATTGTCTTATCCGGTATCTCCATTCCAGTGGCATAGCGAATGCAACGATCTATGCTGAAATATCTTATCTTGATATTTGTAGAACATGAGGTCACATTCAACTTCTCCGTTGAACTTGCCAGGCAGTGCAGTAGATGGCATAACCGTATGCCCAGGCTCGCCCCAAGTCCTGCGCTCCCGACATGTGTCACGACACCTTTGGTCAGGTTGGGTCTGACGTTGTCTAGACCTGCCTTGGTTAAGATGAGTCTCATCTTAGGTTCTTTCGCATGGAACCAACGCAAGTGTAGCTTCCGCAGCTCGCGTGTTACCACGCTTGGGTCAAGACTTCGTAGGTTTTGAAGGCTGATTTGCACGTCGAACCTAGACCAGTCTGCAAGTCGCGGGCGTGCAGCAGGGTTACCCGCAGGTGGCGGTGGAGGTGGATCTCCTCTCTGCTGTCGACCACGTCTGACTCTGACCTGTGGCAGTCGGATGTGGTCATCCGAGCAACCCGCTCCACTCGATGCAGGTTGCACCGCAACGGGTTCAGCAGCGTGTCTGCATACTGTAAT